CTCACGCAACTATATAGAGGGACCATGCTCTTCGTAAGATGGGACACACCCGTTCCTGCCTCCCTTTCGGCAGTAAGCGATGCATATAACAGCGGTTTTCAACTTACTGAGCTTATTTTTCCGCTACCAATGACCTGGATAATCGTCGTTTGTACCTCTTCCGATCTATTGACCTCCCGGATGGAACATCTATCCCCGGGCAAGTGGCAACATTTCAGGAACATCATGAGCTGCGTTCTAAGTTTACAACGCCCAATGGGGGAACCTGGATTTGGGTTCGAAGAGGTAGACGCCGGGTGAGGTGAGCATCAGATAACCATTGACTCACAGGACATCGGGATTGCGTGGCTGACTCTATGGCTCGAATTTTCATGCAAAGTCTGTCCGACAGGGAGGAGGCCGACGTCAGCGGAACTGAGTGCGTAGAGAAATCTGCCCAAGATCGAGAGTGGTTGTGAACGTAGAATTGGCGAAAATGATAAAGTGTAGATAGCCCTTTGTGTGCCGTGCAGCCGGACTCCAGTACGTATCATAAAAGTCACTTCGCCACTGCACGTCACGCGTCATGGTAGAGGAAGCGTTGAACAGTTCGTAATATATGCATGGCTTTTTGTTATTGGTTATGGATGTATGCTGATACGGCTGAACTTCTCCGCATCCTCAGAATCCGTTTAAAGACAGACAGAAATCGGCACACATACCTGATGTTTCGGGAACACATCACCATGCTAAATCGCAACCGTATTGATCATGATCGAAAGTTCTGCAATACCCCACCCAAACACCAAAGCGAGGGTGCTCAGGTGGTGTTGGAAGGACGCGCCTAGTAGGACAAAGCCGCAGATGTACAAGGGGATGGATATGTAGCATACCCTGTTCCAGAGGAGACGCGTGAATAGTTACATAACACTCACGATTGGTTTAGGGACGCACCGTGTCATCATTCATGAGAGATGGAGGGGCCCGAAAGAGGACCATTCGGGGAAAGTTGGGTCGGTGAGTCGGGTCGATGTCGCAAGGGTTGTTCCCATTTTGACGGCCGATATGGGGTATGCAAGGCAGACTCCAGAGCGATGGTGAATCGAACACAGCCACATTGTCGGGAATCCTCA